ATCTCCAATAATAAAAAATAGGGGTTGATCTTAGAAGGGTGAAAATTAGGGGTTGTATGTATTTTTATATCATAAAAAAATATAAACCAAAAAAAATATCTACAAAAAGACTTTTTGGGGTTTGAAATATAGATAGTAGCCGATTCTCAGACTTACTGAATATGCATAAAAAAATTCATAAGAATCAGTCGAGCCGTTTCGGAAGAGTATGGGAACGAACATTGTGACACGAGAATTTTATATATATGTATAGAGGTTTTTCATACGTTAGTCACATGACACAAAACGGTCACATAATAGTAGAATCGACCACGTTGTGTAAATAATGTCTTTGCCTGCCTAATCCTAATACTAGGAGTATTATTTTGGCGGAGACTGTTTTGGTAGAAATATAATATATGTGTATTTTAAGAATGATAATTAACACGTAAAAAAACGTGACGCTGGTTTACGTGTTTACAAGCATGATACGTCATAGCAACTAGTGCGACGCCATCTTGCATTATGATAGGAGTCTTAATATTAAATATATTATATTTATTTGTGTAATATCGTACAAGTCACTGAAGGATAACACGTAAAAAACCTGACATTTGGTAACGTGTTTACAAGCATGGTACGTCACAGGTACTGTTGCGACGCCATCTTGCTTTGAACACACTTCGCGGGTTACTAAAATTACGAATGTTTAATTTGAATATTTATGGCCAATACTTAACATAATAATATATATATATACCTGCCCAATAGTACTTTTAAAGTAAATTAGTATTCTAGTGTAGTACATTAGTGTTCCTTACCCAGCTTGTTGTGCACATGTAACATGAAAAGCGCTATAACAGTTGCTCCTATGACATTGTATGCAGGCGCCTACACCTCGCTGTTTGCAAACCATACATTGTAGCTTCCATCGGGCAGGTGGTATTGTCTCTATCGAATCTGAAAGATCTTTGACTTACAATAATATTCTAGAACCATCGCAGGACAACGCCTAAGTGTTCGATCCTCATCCTTTAAATGGCGAGTTCGAATCACGACTGTGCCCTATAGAATTTTCTTTCCATTTACGCAATTATAACGGTGATGGCAAACATCGTGAGGAAACTTGTATGCCTCAGCCATGTGTCACATGTATCTGATCACCTTCTTGTCTATAAAAATTATCGAAAAAAACGGATGCAATCTGTGGCCAGGACCCATATAGGTTTATAGCGATTATTATTATTAATATTCCGTAACATAAAACCCAGCGGCGCTACAGCCCTTCTGAACTTTTTTTAAAAATTCCCCTTATATGTAAGTTTTTTAAATATTACGCACACAGGTATATGTTTCGGACCACAGCCGAGGTTCAGATGCATAATCAGGGAAATCTTGGCAATTTCTGTTACGCAAATAGACGCAGCTTAACACAGCTGACAGCTATAGTTTTAACAAATGTTTAATTAAAAAACCCTTTTATTTCTTATACATCCATAGAAATGTAAAAGAACAAGATTTTATATTGTAAATTATCGTTTAACTTACCGATAGGTTCTAAGAAAACTGTATTAGCAAATCTCACTTCCGGGATCCAAAGAGCACAGACCACATGAGCCCAAGTGCTTTGGTCAGTTTGCTTAAATGCTCCTAAAAGTTGACAATTGACTAAAGAGGTATTCAAAGATTACATTTAATAAAATAAAGTTTCATTTATAGAGTTCTATGTAAGAGATTGTTCTCATAAATATTAATGCTCATTAGATTTTAGAAACATGTATAAATACTAAATTTGAGAAAATTAAACCTCCAGTGTTTGGGCATAAAACACAGTTTACAAGTCGCGATGGTGATTGTAGACATCTTCGGCAGAGCCACTGGCCCTCCGGAATATAGGGAACCTGAAATGTTGAAAAAGTTAAGACATATTATTTTATGGTACCTATGAGCAGAGCAGTAACACAACGGCTTCTTAAGTTTTCCATACAAAAATCTATAGTTACGATAGCTATTTATTGTAATAATGTATATGAATATTTAACAAGACATGAATATTCAGTAAAGATTTAATAAACTTTATTAATTCCTTTATTTGTAGGGCTAATTTAAATAGGTTACTTGTGATCTAACAGTATTAGCTCCATAGTGAGAACCCTGCTTACAACATTGATTAAAGATATTGAAACTATATAGACTTCAAACATGTGTATCAAATTCAGTAATTATTCCCTTAGCTTTAGAATGGTTTAAAAGTGAAAGTAAATCATAACATTATTGTCATTATTACAATAATCTGTACTGAAAAAAAAAAGGTAATTGGGCAGTTACAACTCCAAATAATAAATAATATACTATGCCCATAATGTTGCCTTATTGAATTTTGATATGCTTAGCCCTACTATAGCTTATAAGCTAAGCTTTCAAGAACTTATTCACCAGATAACCGTTATTTTACAATTCTTACACTTACCCCATAACAATCCTGATGAACTGCTAAGTTGCACATGTCACAGAACAGTATAACATTTGTATTTTGACACTCTCCATCCATACAAATACAGCATACAGCATCTTCATCAACTGTTGCAGCTGTTTGCTGTCCATTTTGTGAAGCCTGATGACAATAATAAAAATAGGAGACTAAACATGTTTAAATTTTTAATGATTTTTTTATTACTGAAATTTAGTGGTTCAAGATATTGTGAAGAGCATTACAACCTTTTTGTAAAACAATTTAAAATAATGGGAGTTAATTTCTTTGCCTTGATTCTTGTCAATATTCTTTTAAATTGTAAATTAGGAGTAAGATTCAGAAACAAGACTTAAAGAGTATAACCAAGACATACCTAACTCCCATATGAAAAAAAAATACATTTTGATCCCATATAGTCAGACTTTGTGCTTTATCTCGTTTCTGAATAGAAAAAATGTTATAGTTATTGATATAAGAATTTAAATATAACTCAGAACATGACTATTGTTATGGACATGTTGATAATCAAGACTTCAATAATCTCAACTGTAATAAACATCTAGGGATGACAATCAAAACCAGGATCTAATTAGATTATATAGCAACAGCAGAAATAATAATCTTACTTGAAAATATGATTCTTTCTCCAATCTATCCATTAGCAATTCCAAGGTATCAACGGAAACTGCAGTCAATCCCTGCTTGATTCTTGTTTTATTGATTATTGCAAGCCATGCAGTGTCTTCCTCATCCACATCATACTCCACTTCTCCATCAAGCTCTTCAGCAGATTTTTCAATAAAACGAATGTAGGCATTTGGACGTGGCGGTGCATCGCAAACTCTTTCATTATAGTCAGGAATAAGCTGCATAAAAATAATGTATGTTGATAATAGTGTATGATAATGGCAATCATCATCAAGGGTATCAAAATATAGATGATTTTTATTTAATGATGAATACAACAGTTGATAAGATTTAAGGCAGACAAGTTTCTCATAGAAAATACTTAGGAAGTGGTAAAACTAAGCTTTAGAACAAGGAAATTTACCTTGAAGCTAGCTTCTGGCAACTTAACATGTGGTTCCTGTGGTGGCTCAACAAATGGCAATGGCTTTTCCAACTCAGCATTTCTTTTCTCCCATTCTTCAAGTGAAATTACTGCTACAGGTTGATCAATAGGAATTCTACTAATTTTACCATCAATTTCAAATTGTACTACTTTCTGTGCTTCAGCAAATGTTAATGCTTCTTTTGGTGGACTTTGTAAAGCTATATCTCCAGTAGGAACTGCCGCTTTAAATCTGCCTTTCTTTCTATGGTGTGGAACCGTAGGCGTTGCCGGTGTCGGATTGTCATGATCGTAATTGACCAAGTGATATTGCAAACCACATAAACTCTTATATACTTTATCACATTTCTCTAACGGACATTGGTACGGAGGAGGTCTATTTTGTCGTAACTTCTTACAGAATTCTAAGACATCGAAATCCAAACCCATTGCGGAATGCACAAGTTAAAGATTATAGTGTACACGGCGTCATTTTAAAACAAGTCCTTTGGTTTGTGGCTTGTGCAGCTAATTAAGTCGGCAACAAGGATAAAAATTCGGTTTCAGTTTGATTGTGTTCCTAACTACATGTTTAATATGTGATACGCCGCGAATCTATGTGTTATAAAAATAATAAATAATCGTTCAGTTTTCACTGAGTGGTTTTCACCGAATTTAATATTTATTCAAAAGACAAAATTGTATTAAGTAAAATTATGTAAATGTCAAAACGCTAAGCTAAATGCCAAAATAATTTCAAATTACAGTGTCAAGTATCAACACAGGCTAACACTCAGTCAAGTACTCCACAGAATACATGGAATTGATTTAGTTAATAATATTTAACTTAATTTTAGCTCTCTTTTAAGGCATATAATATTATATACCTTTTTTCTCTTCTTAAACCAAATATCTTCTACAAATTTCTACATTTCACTAGATTTATATAGATGATTAACAGTTTCTAAAAGGGTTGGAGACATACAGAGAATCAATAGAAAAGTAGAAAATGTACGGTTTGTTTACGAATTTCAATACATTTCACAATTTTTTTTAAATTCTTAGACGCAACTCCGGCAGCAAAAAATCACTTGGAAGTTGGAGGTGTTCCATTCAAGGTCCCCCGAGACACCAGTATGATCAAATTCGAGAGACGTAATTCTAAATCCAACCAATTAATATCGACTATATTACTAAAATTATACATTTAAAATCGTCAAATTTATTAGTTATAATATATTTATTACTGTAAAATCAAAGATGACGACATGTTGAGATGTTTACACTTTCTAAGTTTTCTAAATAGCAACTCTGTTTATTTGCTCGGTGCCCGGTGCCGTCAAAACATAGAAATTTCGAGGTGTCATGTGTCAATCTGAGTTCGGGATAAATCTGATTTGTTTATTGTGTTAGAAAAGCTTTCCCTAATTACTGCTGTTTTTTACGCGAACCATATATATATATAATTGTCTGCAATTGAGTTGAAAACTAATCGAAATGGATATTTATGGATACGCTGCATATCAGTATAATCAGTCAGATGAACTGGCGACGCAAATGTTTGCTCAACAAGCTCTTGCTTCCTCAGTACAATATCCCGATTCCCATCGTGCCATACCAGGACAAGATGTGCACACGATGCCAGTCCCCACGGGAACGCCGTGGAACGTTCAAAGTCTACCATGGAGCTTGCAATCTCCTCCTAACCTTGTCCACTTTACAGCGCAAATGGATAAGCCACTGTTACATTGTAAGAGAAAAAGTACAGATTTGGAACCCGTAATGTAAGTACATGCTATCTATATTCTCTTATATTCTAATTAATATTTTGTTATGGATTCTTAATGTTTTTGGATATATGTATTTATATTTTTTTTTATAACTTTTAGACCCTCAAAGCAATTAATAACAGAGGAAAAAATGGCAGCCCATTTGAACAGTCTTCACATATCGGCTGATTATACACAGCATTCACTGGCATCTGAAGATGTTATGGAACTGGCTGTAGACCCTGTATCTATCTCTGAAAGATTAAAAGGACATAGAATTGTGCTCTCTGAGGATCTTAAGAAGTTGAAAGATGAGCCTTTGTTACCCCCAACACTAATTGAAAGGTACTTTAAATGCAAGTTAAGCAGCTGTAATGTTTGTATTTTTAATTATGGTTAGTCTGTGGTTTAAGACCATGAGAGGCTTAAATGAATTATGAATAAAAAATATTTTTCAAATACTAAATATAATTGTAGCACTATTACTAACACTGTACTTAGTGACTCAATATATAACTTGTTGAGTTTTCAAATAGTATATTATAATACGCAAACCTATACTTGTCAACTAAAGAATATTAAAAAAATTACAGCATTCAAAAACCCCAAATGTCCCTAGTGGTTTGGAAGCCTCGTGAAGAAATCCTTAAAGGTACGGACGAAAAATCAGAACAAGATGAAGAATTCAAAAGAAGAAATGGTGTTCTTGTGCCACCAGAACCTTCAGGAATGGATGTTGAAATGTGATCTTTGTAAGTTGTTGTAATATTAGGAACTGATTTGTATGGTATAATTTAGTCATTAGTAGTATAAGTAACAAACTATTATAATTTTTTTAATACACATTGATGGTTGACTATTGATATGGTTTTATCAATATCTCCTACAATATTATATGTTCTTTAGTGACACACATATTTCGTCTAAATGTAGAAAATTTACATTAAAGTTCTGCCCCTTAAAGGTAATTCTACAATATGTAATACTCATATAAAATAATTATTTCATGCTATTTAAAGTAATAATTTACTTCTTATCTTGTTTCATGATAACATTTGCATTCTAAATTGGTTTTTTTTTCATTTAGCTGACTAAAGAGTTTTAATTTATGGTATTTAATTGTCAAATATATTAGTATAGTTATTTAAAATCTATAATACAAAATTGTAATACAAAGTAGTTAATACCCCACATCCTCTTACCTAGGCAAAATCTGAAACAAAAAATACTGAAAAATGCCAAACAAGCGAAAAAATCGCGGTTTTGGCTATTACAAGCATACCTCAGATGTTTTTTTATAATTTTACAGCCTAGAACAAAATAGGTTGAAAGTATAAAAACAGTTTGCTTAACACTATTAAATAGTTTCGGATTTCGCCTTACTAAGACTCAGAAAGATATGAAAAAATCATCTATGATATTTGAACTCATTGAATTGACTGCAGTTATGAATGTTGTAAGTCCAAAATATTGAATTGATAATTATTTCATAATAATATAATAATGGTTTTATGTGTTACAAATTCTTACAAAATTTAATTTTTAAATTTTAAGTGTGTAAATAACTAATAATTTTGTATTCTTGTTATATTAGGTATGTAAGATCCATTTAGGCCTTATTTTTGTCTTTAAGTAATAAAGAAAGTCACGATAAATGTTTTTTTTTTTAAAGTTTGATATCTTCGGCCATGGACATGTGACATTAAGTCAAGTACGACATACATTATTTCATATTTCGTTTTACCGTGTATGCAATTGTCTTTTAGTATCGTAAATGTGACTTTAATTTTTGCGGGTGCCGCACATTGACAGACCTTTGTCTAAAAAATCTCGAAATGCCAAGTTGCTCTTTGTTATGTAAATAATGAAATAGATTGAAAAAAAAACAAAAACCTTTATAGAAAATATTTTATTAAGTTAAAATTGTCCTATCACAATTAAATTAATGCTTATCAATATGAATACTGATAGGGAATTTTATTACATTGGTCCTTTTTAACTAAAGTACTTATCACAATATGGACAGTCATACAGGGCAAGATACCGCCCATTTTCGAACATATAAGCAAGTTATCATACATTGATCAGAACCTTATTTGAGCTTTGCAAAACCTAAAAAAATATTGTAAAAAGCACTAGAGGGCGTTATATCCTTCAATTTGTAGAGACTAAGTTTAGAATAATTTGCTTGGTTCTTAATAAATGTGGCCGGTACAAAATTGTTCTCAAGGATGGTAAGAATGTGCTGTATCGTGAGTTTAATTAAGTATTAAACAGATAATACGACACATGAAGTTATCAATGGTTACACGTAAAACAAAGTTTCATACAAATATTTTACGCAACATACGAATTTAAGACTTTTTTTTTTTAATAATTTTATGGCCTGGTAACGAGACCTTTAAGCCAATTTAAGACTTAGTCACACTAACAAAGAGTTGTCTAGAAAAGCGACTGTCACTTGTTTTTAATTGGTCAATGACCAGTCGTGATGTTTTGTTTTTGGACTTATTTAGAATTTATAGTTTAGTTAACGCTAGTGTTGTTTTTGAATAGTAAATAAAACTTATCTATAGATTATAAATATTCGTTTTGTCGTTGTTTTATAATTTATCGAGTCAGATACAGAAGTTTTTAAGAGCCATCTTCTAAAAATGTCCAATTCTCCATAAAACTTTTACATACAATGCAGTCTTTGAAACCCATTGTTGGTACCTAATCTTGACTGCATACATTAAATAATTGATTTTTTTAACTTGTATGTAAAGGGTTCAAACGTTTTAATTTTGAAAAACTTAACGAATATTTTTTATACATTTAAAAAATCTCGATAATCACAAATGGCTTAGGGGTACATGTTGACCTTAACAGTGGCAGTGTCGAGGTCTCTTTTCATATTTTCCAGCTGTTTTATATCTTGGACGGACGTTTCGCATTTCTGCACAACCAGGGAATGGTAGAAGTGTATCGCGAACGCCACGAAGACTATTAAAACTGCAAGAAAAACATAATTCAGTTACGTATGAACACCGAAAATCCGTCATAAAATGACAAATTTAAATAATTTAATTTATTCGCTTTTTAATTCCATACGGCGGCAATTTATACACATTTAATTAATTAATATTTGTCAGGGCCTAAGTATATAAATTTATCGTGTCTGTTTGTGTTTGTTAAACCCAGAGCCTGTGCATTTAAATGAATGGATTTTACTATCTGCGCAGTCATATGGCAAAAAATTGGCGGCTGAACGCCAAATACGTGATGATAATCTAACATGTAGACTTTTGAGGTTGAAAAACCCGGAGTTTATAAGTTGCGACTATAGTTATCAAAATATTTGATATAAATTTTACCTGGTATAACAATAACAGTGGCTGCGGTGGCGGCTGCGAATGAATAGTCCCAGAATTTAACCCAGCAGAGAATAGCTATTTCCACCAGAAACAGAAAGAGACCTGAAAATACATTATTAATTGATTGACGATATTTCATACAAAAAAGCGGGATCAGATGGTGGAAACGACTTTGTTCTATAATACCGGTTACCGAAAATAAAGAGAGTAGTGTTGTAGTAGCTTAAGGAAACGACCCTCATTCACAACTTTCGTAAAGTTAAAACTACTCTTTTATCCGCTTGGTATACTTATCAGCCTTCCCTTTGATTGCCTAGGGTATTAGATTAAGCAAAGATTAGCAATATAGCTTACATACTAAGGGTATACCAGTTCGAATCATGGCTGTGCACTAATGGAATTTTGGTAAGTAGCTCCTACCCCTACGGCGAAGGCAAACAACATGAGGACACCGGCATGTCTTAAATGCAAAAATCTAAGGATAGGATAGGAGTTAAAGCGCCACTAGATTATTATTGTTAACGACAACCAAACGATTTAAATTGATTCTGGTATTTTATTATTAACTAACATTTTCAAACAATGATATTCTTTAAACGGAAACACTTAATATCCTGCTGCCACGCAACTGTCACGGGGCAATAACTAATAAACAATAAAGAAACTTAACGAATGAAATTTTACCTGTTTTTAGCTGTTTACCTATATTACAACGTATACAAACAAATTATGACTCGCCATTATTACACAATTGCGTTTATTATGTCTACTTAACGTAGTCGTTACGTTTACTGGTTTAATATGTTTTTTGAAACCATGATATTTAGAAGTATTTTTACACCTATATTGTCGCTATACTACTTGTGGTTGAAGCTTAGTATATCTACAATATCTTGCCATTCTTCGAAAATAAAAAATTAAGTGTTTTTGGAGTTGAAAATAATATTCTGATATACCTATGCAAATTTCTAAGTGTTCATAAATATTATTCATTCATCACATTTGCCACTATCGCTATTTACATCTAGTTGCCCGAGCTAATCCTAATAGAGCATGGGGCAGTTCATCTTTAGGAAAAAAACTTACCTAAAACGGTACTAAACGCCCAAGCCAGCTCAATGAAACCCCTCATTCGTTCGTGTGGAGACTCCCGCAGCGCCCTTGACGGACACCCTGGTTCCATTTTGCTCACTGCGTCGATATTGGGTAAAAGATACGTAGATATCATCAAAGCGAAGATATGTACAGCAACTAATACTGTTGTACACACCGCGAACATAACGAATAGCCACTCTGGGACATTGGTCGGTTCGTTTATTTGTAGTTCCACCATTGCTACCATTGCGAAACCTGGAATTAGGATGTGGTGTTGTAGCGACGATAACTTTAGTCAAGAAATCATCCATGAAATTAATATTAAATATCTTTGCCCTAGTGGGCTTGCGACTGTAGCTTCTTCTTGAGCTCAATTTACGCTTGTACGGGAAACTTATGTCTTAGACTAAAAAATCGTGTGAAAACTGATCACCTACTTGCTTATAATTTTTTTTTTTGTGAACATGCAAATGATACCTGAATAGTAGATACAAAAGATTTTGAAATTCCGTTGTATTTCTATTTATGAAGAATATTACCTTTAAAATTCTGAATCTACTAATCAAATTAAAAAAAAGTCGTTCGAATTAATTTACGTAAAAAATATCTATTAATTATCAATTTATAAAAAAAGTATGTAAAATGAGGCTTGAGAGTAAGCCTTTGTGTATTGAAACAATGTATAACTTCGTGACTGTGGTTTGTTACGGGTCGCACAGTGCTACAATCTTTTTAGACTACCCGCTTTTTTGTATATATATATAACGTATAACCGCTGCAAACCCACAAGATTCAACTATAAGTTTCTAGTATTCGTTTAATAAATATCTCACCTACCTACTAATTATTTTTTTATGTTAGTGATATTCGATGTTTTTATGTGAAATAAAAATCATTAAATTTGTCCGAGGTCTTATGGAATACTTCAACATATTCTATGAAACTGAACTAAAAATGAGTTTCTTTAAAAAGAAACCACGGCGCCAACTAAAATTAACTTGTGTAATGTGTATTATCTGTATTAAGTTTATCATACCAGACAACAATTCGGACGTCGTGGCTGTGGCTTTCAGTTTTGCTCTGGACATATGTAGTCTTCGCCAGGACAATCCGTCTGGCGACCCAGGCGCCAGCGCCTCATCGTTCCAGTTATTTACAGGCATCGCTAGGGCCACTTCGCTTACACTCTATATTAATAAAGTAATTGTAATCAAAGATTTTCACTTGCTTATCTCGAAGAAGTATAATCCGTCTTCCAACGACGTAATTATTTATTTATCATTTAAAATTATAAATTTAAAGGTTTCTTTTCAGTGATAAAAATTAACCGAGTTTTAATGAGGTCAAAGTATTTCCCTCATATTTTAAACTAAAATAAATATATTCTCACTTTGTAGAGTCCTACCCTCTTATTCATAAAAAAAAGTATTTTTGCACAAGATGTCAAAGAAGATTTGACAAAAGAATAAAGCTTAGCTTGTTAGCTAAAGTTCGCTTTATTCTTTTGTCAAATTATATTTACAATGTGTATGGTTCATCTAGACTGATTACCGAATAAGCGGGTATTATATAAGTAAGGAACCTTTCATTAGAGGCGCTTACTTCCCCCCACCATGAAAAATCTGGCCAAGTTAAGTGCCGAAAGTAATTTAACACCCAAGCTATTTCGTGACTGCGTAGACGCACTAGAATAAATATTTGTAATACTTACTCTAATGGACTGGTTGCACTGGCATGGCATGTAACCAGGGCTTAGCAGTACAGTCGCCGCAGATTTGCTGGCCAGCATATTGGGCGTTATGCTTCCATTGGGTGTGCTACTGCCTTTGGTACACTCGTATTCGAGGCTGTGGGGAGCGGTCACTGATATTGTCGGGCTTTCTGTAGTCGATTTTAATCTGCTGAAAAAAATGTTTCATTTCATGTGTTTTATACGTTTTATATATAAATACGACCTCCATCGGGACCTTAATATAGAGGACGTCGCCACAATAATAAATAAAAAAGGGTGCGTGTACTTATGTACGCGCCTAAGAAGTTATAATTCTTTGGCATTATTAAAAATAGTTTTTGATTGCATGCAAATAATTAAATACAATTAAATAATCAAAGACTGGAAAAGGAGTCATTATAGTCAATAAAGTTCAGTTCACATTTGAAAAATTAAATAAATAAATATTTATTATTATTCTCTTACATTAAGTGTAACATAAGTTCTATTATTATTCGAATGTTGTTTTTAAATTATGTCCAATGCCGTAGCATCTTCCGTGGTCAACTTCATTTTGTTAATTTTGTGTCACGGTGCGCGCGCATCGTAAAATTTCACTCTCATCAATTTTTCATAACGCGCCTAAAGAAGTATAACTTCAAAAATCTAAATACGTCGCCAACAAATAAATTAAGAAAAGGAAAATTTCTTGGAGGTGCTGCTGTGGCAGTAGAGATTTAAACTGTTTAGTATAGTTTTAATAATTGTGTCTTTAAAACATGGGATAAAAAGGTTCGTTGAAACTGGGTAAGAATTAAACGTCATATAGTTATATATATTATTAGTCGCTGGCAGTGATACTTGATCCTTCACAAGTGATGAATATGGTAATTCATATTTACTGAAATTGATAGGGTATTGAATACATCGTATGATCTGATGTAATAATAAACTTTACAATAGTATATTGTAGATCTGTAATTGCCATTTTTGAGCAACCTTGGAAATAAATAAATGAAATGTATAATTCTGAATACTCGTACCTAATACCATACTAGGAAATACTTGAAGTACTTAATACTTTGTTGGTTTTACTGTTTACCACTGTCACGATTATGAATAATGACTTATGCTAGAAATAATTTAATAGTGTTTAATTGTAATTGCTTTTGTTATCATGCAGTGGTATGAACTTTGTAAGCGAGGTGGATATTCGTTTGGCACTCCTAGTAGATACACGTCACCAAAGACAATTAAAGTAACTTTTCCACTATAACTTTAATTGTCTTTGACCACACCCAAAGGGTAAGATTTCCAGAGCCGGATTTAGGGGAAGGCAACCGGGGCTGGAGCCCCACAATAGACCTCGGGGGAAAAAAATTAAATTCCGACTAGTATAAAACACTGGTAAACAACATTTTTTGATACATTTTTATATGTTTGTTATATACTAAGAATCTACTTGATTTCACAATAAATTATTGATGAAAAACTCGACTGAATTTTTTTTTTCATTTTATTTGGAAAATATTTGGGGCCAAGGGGTCTCCACTCCTTTGATGCCCTAAGGCCTCCAGACCTCTAAATCCAGCCTTGAAGATTTACAACGAGACATAGCGCTAAATCTAACTACCATACGTATAAAATGTATAGGATGTTGACATACAGGAGTCACTTGCACGACCTCTAATTTCACCCTTCGAGACATACGTGATGTTAGCTATCCTAAATAAATTGACCAATAAAACCGCAGTAGGCCCTGACCATATTCAACCAAAGAAAAAGGTTTTAAAGCTTTGTAACATTAAAAGATATGAATTGGGTCGATTTGGGCTAGTTGTGAAAGGTCAAATAATCAATACCTATTTCGTTAGAGTTATCGTTAATTAGACTTATTTAATTTGTGGCCTAAAAATCCTATCGTCATTACCCTACTCTTATTATTGGTTTATGACTTAACCCATTGTGTACTATATACTTACAAACAATGTTTTTTATTACTTATTATAAGGCGTATTATAATAGACAATAAAATAAATAGTTTAGTGTTTAGTGATATTATTATAAACGAAATACATAATCGTAAATGTTTAGTAATTTAAAAATGGTAAAATCCATACACAAGCTTCCGCTAACCTAACACCTCTGTTATGTGGTCATAAGAATTCGACACATGGTAGAATATTATAAGTACTTAGAAGTTATAGTACACTGTTCTAAAGAAAGCCTTTGTAGCTGCAAGCCCTGCATAACAAGAAACAGCCAGAACTGAAGCCGCCTATTCCGCTGCACGTGATGCTGCCCAATAACAAAAGAAGACGCCATTGGGTAACGGTAACTCTAGTGTCTTCGCGGATCTTAACTATTATGTTTTGGAGACAATTTTGTTAAATTAAAGATTATAGTTTTGACTTCCGTGTATATCACTTCTCTCACCGCGCACTCTCTAAACTCCTTCTTTCGTCACACCATAAACAATTGGACAGAGACGAACAAGATAATTAAATCAGCAGTTAAAACTGATTTAGTTTATGTAGAATTGTACGTCAGATTCGTGGGCGTAAAATAATAGACTGCAAAATTAAAAAGGTGTCAGTTTTTATATGTACTCGATATCTTAGAGACTCCTACGCAATGTTCGAATATTCCACAGACTGGCCATGAAGAAGGATACAAGTATGTGCATGGTCCATTTCTTAACACTCGTACTATGATGAGACATGTACAACAGTATCATGAGCGCTGGTATTCTATAAATTACAATAGCAATTATCCCTGCGTTTTTGCATGTAATTTCGATGTAGTTCTCTCAATATCCGTAGCGCCGATGACGCAGCCTTCGGATCGCGTGGTACAAAAACTCGATATTGAAGTCAGGATCGCTATTGAGAGTTAAAAAGTACCGGCGCATGCGCAAGAATCTGAATCTTTCGTGCTCCGAGACACATTTTGACCAATGCCAACTGGCTATATATATATTTAGATTTTTCGGCCCCATCTGGATTTTAAATAGAGAGGAAATGAGTATTTTATACCCAAACACTTACTTAACATGACTCCCGTCATAGCTCGGTGGTTTCCCAAAGAACGGATATGACTCGCACAGTCCCAAACTCTTCGGTCGCAGTTCTTGCTTTGTTCTGTATGGCCTATGTCTGTCGTAAATGTGGTCACTGGTGTTGAATCTTTGCAGCTTAGCCGTCACTTTGCCGCTGGGTGGCGTCTGTGTGCATTGGTCTATCCGTGCAGCCTCTTCTATGCTTGTGACGAAACTGGCCTCGGATATCTGGGAATATTTAATTTATTTAGAGTGGCAGATTACGTATGAAGAGCTGTTTAGCGTTTTTAACACTTAGTAGTGCAATGTATAATATATATATGTGCAATTAACACTTGTTTGTACGCTGAAGAAAAACAACGTAACCGATATGACTAAGACTCGAAAATATTCAGGCTGTTACACATGTTCCTTCCAGAAATTAGATCGCCATAAAGAACACCATCTATGACTTAGTTTTCGGGAAATTGAAGACACACATACCCTTATTAAATTTAGCCCATTGCAACAATATCACATACAGGTCAACCTTCTTGATTGATGTCTTAAAAGTTATCAATGTAATAGATGAAATAATTGCCTAGATATTTGTGTAAAAACGAACGTTTACATTTTTAATACTTCATCAACAAGGGCCCATCAAAAGGCAATGTGAGCCTTCTGACAATGTCCAATAGCACTTCTTATAGACCAGGGGGCAAACGGGCAGGAGGAGAACCTATAGAGCCTAGAGGATAGAAGATTCGCTGTCGGCGGTATCACTTAACATCACGTGAGCAAATATATCAAATTTAAAACATTAATTAATCTACAATTGTCGATTAAATAATGTCTTTATTGTAAATGTATAAATTTTGTTGGTTGTGATGACGATTTAACATTAATGTAACCCATATTTAATGTCAATTCAATGGCTATTAGCTAAATGACAGTTTTTCATATTCAAAGCTACGTCAAGGTTGGTTGGCCTCAAAGTATGATTTTCCATCGTCATCGCTATTGTCCTACAGTGGTTATTAAAAGGCCTGAGAACTTGGTCCTGGTTTGATATATGTAACATTAGCATGAATACTGTATTAGCTATGAACAAGACCTATAATTCCCTAATAAAAGCCTAAAGGCCTTCGAGTGTGTAGACGTAGCACGAGTAGTAAATAACTGAACTAATCGAGCTTCCATCTATAACCCTGTACTGTACTTTTTTGCTTCGAATTAGAAAATATTTTTTTTATATTTCCTACATAGTTATATGTTTATAAATATATGCAATAGGTTATAGTTTCGACTGGCCATGTAGTAATTGTCAGGGAGCGACACGAGCCCGAACTCTTCTCTTATTTCTACCAACAGTAGTCAGTCTCATTTCTGAGTAACTCTAAAGTCTCATGTATTACAATTAGTATGTATGTATTCGATTTATATTATAGACACTGAATATAAGATCATCATAAGAAAAACCGTTTACAAGCACTATACTTAAAAAGTATACATAGATATATACTATGCTTCTAGAAATATATATTTTGTTGAAATATTAATATACTCCTAGGATCAGTACGGACGTTGAGGTCGCATAAGTTCTAAATTATCTTTTTTTGTAAAACCATACTGTTACGTCATTATATATATATATATATCTTCTAATATATACAATTCTCGTGTCACAAATCACAATGTTCGTTCCCATACTCCTCCGAAACGGCTCGACCGATTCTTATGAATTTTTTATGCATATTCAGTAAGTCTGAGAATCGGCTACTATCTATCTTTCAAACCCCTAAGTGATAAGGAGCGTCCAATTATTATTGTAGATAGTTATTTTATTGAACTAAAAAAATGTTTCCTAATTGTGTATAATGTTAATATACATGGCAAAACAAACGTTTGCCGGGTCAGCTAGTATATGTCTATATATATATATAATTGATTAAACCTAAATGTTAAATAATTCAGTAAATAATAGAAACAGGGGCAATTGTAGTTACATATTCATCGTATTATTTTTTAATATTTTTACTTTGAAATAGCCCATGCTACTGATGCTCAAACGTTGTAAAAGATGGAAGCCGTATTAACGCCACTTCCATAGCACATGTAAACATTGCCGTAAACAGATATTATTATAAAAGTATCCTTGAGAAATAAGTGTTTATTTATTTTATTCGTAATCATTTCATCTCTTGATTAGTATATAAAAAATAATCACTGACAAGGTACTTACAACCTACCTCTTTGCCCGTAACAAAAAGGGATTTTTTATCGCGACTTTTTTTTACTGTTGCTCATTGCTATGGGTAGAAAAAAACTCGCATTAACCATTCATTTTTAAATTGTATTGCCACTAGTAATAACTCACTTTGTGTTTACACAGTCAACAAATATCCGTGTCTTTATCGTAATGTTAGAATTTTTCATGGATATAAAAAACATAATTGAAAGTAATTTAGATACTAAGTAACTTGAGCCGTAGCTCATTTATATGTTAATTGTATTTTAAGTGATTTATTTTTTTTTATATGTAAGAAACGATTATTTGTAATGGATTTTTAGACGTAATAAAATATTTTTTGAAATGGCTAAAACACACCGATCTTTTAAACGCAATCTAATTCATCAACAGCTCTATTTAAACACGTAGAATAAATATAAGACAGTAGATAATATTATTTCTTTTAAGGTTTTTGTTTGATAACGTAGTAAGTATACCTACAATTTAGACATGATTTTTTTTCACTTCGTTAAAAAATAAAATATCTAAGTAAAATTGAACTTTTCTTACGTTTACATACAGTTAATTACCTTATAATAATATTGTAAATATACAAACCTTTTGAACAGCTTTATTCTCCTTAGCCATGATTATTAAATGTTATTACAAATCACAATCACATTTTTTTATATATAAAACCTTAACCTTTTTTTGTTGACAGATGAAGCGCGCGAAAATTGGAGGTAAATTTCATAGACACAACTTTTCGCTGCTGGCGAAAAAAGTGTACTAATGACTTGGCAGAGCAGCGTTTATGAAGATAAACGATTACGACTTAACAGCTATAAATAATGTACATCACGGGAAACCACATTGTTATTTATTTTAATTATCTATCAAATGGTAACACAATTCTTAAAAATATTTTGATACAATTCTATTATGTCATTTGTCTATTTTGGATGTGCGGCCTAGACCTTTATTCAGTTCAATATTATTTATTTATTTACACTTCGTTACCTTATACAAAAACATACTTGTAAATTACTGTTCATTGGGATTTTTTTGTAAACGGGCAAGAGGCTCACCTAACGTTAAGTGATAGTCCCATGGACGCTCTCAATGCCAGAGGGCTCGCGAGTGATTGCCGGCCTTTGAAATTGTTTTATTAACATATTTGTCATTTTTGTATTTCAATTGATTTGATTATATATATGATTTTTAACTAATTCGAGTGAGTGTACCATCCGTGTTAAAAATTAAGTGTGAATCTGTGGTTCTTTAATATGTTACTACTTTCCAAATTGCTGTTATTCAACTCTTTACACCCCAAATTACTTTAATCCACGTGTATTTCGAAATCAGTGTCAAAATAAATGCTACAAAATTTTAGACAGGATAATAATGTACTAATACTAAGTAATAATAATAAATCTATAATATTATTATATTTTACAGTAATAAATGTGTTTTCGAGAAACAATAAAAAATATTTCTTTTATGTTCGTGTGCGAGTTATAATTAAGTAGTTACGATCATGGATGATTATGTGTAATAACTATACTTATATCTGATTCCTATATTTTCCGTCATACAATTTTACTGTGCACATTTCAGAGTAATAAAATCTTAACTAGCAACATTTTTAAGCTACCTTTTCCAGTATAATTGTAATATTTCAGTCTATTTAAATAAAACCATGATACAATGATTTCTTAGAAATCACGCTATCTATTTGTAAAACCGTTCCCAGATATATTTGGTAGTTTTTAAGTTTATCGCGTTCATACAAGCCAGGGGACTTTATTTCATACTAATTATTATAGATATGAATTATTATGGATAATATCAATACATAATATTATTAACAATATTCTTAATTAAAAACAATAACTAACCTTAAAATATAGTAACTAAAATATATTATTAAAAAGAGACTTTAGGCAAGGTTCCGAAGATACTGGCAGTGTTCCCCCTTTTAATAGCTAGACTAATTATTTGTGCGAGGAGCTGCCAGCTCTTCGGTTCCTGTGATGTCGACTAACCTTTTTGCTATTTCCTTAAAAAGCCTAATATTTATTTAATTATATTACAGGTGAAGAGATTTCATATTGGCGTAGGGTTAGCAGAAATCAGGAAGAATTAAATGTCTGTCGTCTGATACTATACTATTATGTATGATTAAGAAATGTCCTGAACATCTGCAATTTATGAGCAAACGGGGTTTCACCGTCTTCAACTTCCTTAAATATTCGTGATGTTTACGATAATACGAATTTAAAATTCATATCATGTCCTTGTAAAAACCACGCGACGGATTCCCTTTTCCTGTTGAAAGTATTTAAATAATGGATTTTTACCATAAAAAGTACGCAGTGAAAAGTACTTTGATTAATTGTTACGAGTTAAAATCTTAATATATATAAATTACGTGTCACGTTGTTTGTCCGCTATGGACTCCTAAACTACCGAACCGATATCAATCAAATTTGCACACCGTGTGTAGTTTGATCCAACTTAAAAGATAGGATTGCTTACATCTGAATTTATACCCGCAATATTATTTTATTGCAAATTATTTGTTTATTATTTTATAGTCACAATTCTAACAGATGGCGCTGTGTTGAAAGTAGGTACCAACGTTTCACATAAGCTACAATTTAATGGCATATGCCACCAAAAAAGCATGGTGGTCCCCATGACTGGTGTTCTCCTACCGTTTCCCTTGAATAGTTTGCTACTATGTATTATAACAAAAACCTTAGCCACAGCAACGCTTGGCCGGTCAGCTAGTTTATTTATATAACACAAAATCATTCAAAGAATATGTATTCTAACGAACTAATTAATAATTAACAACAGACCAGATTTCAAATAGATCTTTGATTCCAGCCATCTTGGACCGCCATACGCTTGGCGTGCAGAAGCAGTGGTATTCTGTAACTTCCAATTGCGATAATGACAGCGTTCACGAATTTTTTGTATCCAGATTTGATAAAATTATTTTACAATCTGTATCGCTGCCGTCGGAACTTTGGTATCGCGCGGTATCATTGAAGTGGGTATCGGTATTGGAAGTTACAGAATGCCGGTGCAGGACAATAGTCCTTGATTATGCGATTAATCAAATGTTTTTGGTATCAAAACGTGTACAAGGGCCAAATATGTTATTTGTTAGAAATATGAAACGTGCATTGAGGATTATTAAAAAATTATTGATTTTCTACATAATTAAGTCAATTAATTTCTAAGGAAGTATTTGTAATATTATACAGTTTATCCTTACCGAAGTGTTGTTAATTGCATGAAAATTTCTTAACCATAAATAATTTAAGTCTACCTTCATTATAGATTTAAACTCATAAAACAAATGAAAATAGAAGATGACTATGTTCAACTGTTTTTACGCTACGACGCGCAAGCGAGCTGTATAGTAGCTCTGCCCTGCGATTCTGTAACTCACTTTTCGAACTCACACAGCGGTTTTCGGATCGGCGGTCGCTCTCAAATCAGTCGTGAAGCAGTCATTTTATGATTTGGCATTCTGAGAAGGTGGGAGCTTGTAGTTTATTGTTTATTAGAATGTCAAATCATAAAATGACTGCTTCACGACTGATTTCAGAGCGACCGCCGATCCGAAAACCGCTGTGTGAGTTCGAAAAGTGAGTTACAGAATCGCAGGGCTGGTAAGGCGCGTGCACTAACAGCATGCTCCAGCATTAAGGGCATACCAGCATTACCGCCAGGTAATAGCGGGAATGTTGGATTGCCCTTACATGGGTCATTACCGTCTACATGTTAATAAAACTACTATGATAACACAATACTAGACTTATGATTGCCTGCTAATAAAAATAAATTATTATTAATATAAGCAAATAAAAGGGACAAATAATGTTACCTCACCTAAAATTTTATAGCACTTGGACGAAACGTATTAATCACTAAAGACTAACATGATACCTTCATGCGTTGAGAATCATATCTAACTGTTTTGCTATAAAATAAAAACTCACTGACCTACACTAGGGCTGCAAAATGGAAGTGTGCCTTATGTGGCGCGAAACCAAATTCAGAATACTTCCGTATAAATATAGAAAATTATATGAATATAATGTGACCAACTAATGCTTTCCAGTCGAGTATTTTCGGCTCAGGGTATATGTAGGTAGCATATAAATAAAGAAGCAAATGACACATTTTTCATTTTAGCATACCTCTGTTTATAATGATTGACGTAACTTCTTTTGTTATCACAACAAGTTATTAGATATTTCACAGTTATGGTATGGTTTATTATAGCATATGATAATTTTTGTTACGGAAAATAATTTTCTCGGGTTTTGATACAGAAGCGTCAAAACTGTAAGTAATTAGCGGCATGCAGTTAATAAATTTATTATCTACAATCTGTAATCATATTTTGAGGTAGCCCTGCGTAAAGTTTTGTTTGTGAATAAAATTAGAACAATGATAACGCTGTTGTTTGAGCAATAGAGATTTGTATTCAGTGCTTTAGTTCAGAATTCTGGGTTTTACTTCTGACGGTCAGAGACAATTTAAGTAATAGACCAAAGTGGTGTAATAATAAATATATTGTCTTTGGTACTGTCTGGTCTATAATAATCAATCAATAACAAAAAAATATTGTTCGGTTTAATAAGGTTGTAGATTATATATTTGTGTGATGTTTTTAGAGAGTTAAAGTTAAAAAAAATTAGATACCTTTTATCTTTGTCGCTTTTAAAGAAAGTTGCTTGAAGGTGTCTGCCGCGCATATGAAATTCAGTCGGAACAGTTAATTATACTTAAATTAATGTCAGTCAATACTTCCATTATATTGCGCACTTGTATGTTATACTAACGAGAATGGAGGGAAAACAGTAAACACGATACAACGGTATTACCATATTTACTACCACAAATATTTGTTTCTGTACATGTTTCATAAAGTGTTTGTACATTCATTGTTCTGTCTTAGCTGTAAATAATGCAATCTAATATAAATTACGTAATTTATAATAATAATAAATAATCCAATGGCCCTTACAACTCTATATGGGTCTTGGCCGTAAATTTCATCCGTTTCTTTGATCATTTTTATTTTATAGACAAGAAAGTTCAGATTAATATCGGAAATATTATCCACAATTTATTAATAAATTATTTAAAAGATTTGTACATTAGCATATATAAGTGTGATGCAAGGCAAAACAAATATATAAGGGAAAGGAATTTATCCGAAATAAACCCCATTTCATTTTGTTTTTATTAGAGTGGGAGTCATCTTTAAATCTTTAAAAATCTTACGTCTACCCTATGTAAATGCGTTATAAATATATAAGGCGCTTAAGAAAGTACAGCATGCATGAGACCTGTTCAAAATTTAATAAACCTGTAATCTAACCTATTACAGTTGAGTTTGGACTATAATAACTGTATTCTCGTACTATATTTATTATTTGTATAAAATACGCAGTTACATTATTTTAACAATATCTATGACCAGTACATCAACTTGGATTTAGTTTCAGCATCATTTATGCTTGTCATGAGAGTAGATATATTAAGAATCTCCTAAATATAAGAGGTAGTATAGGTGTAGCAATGTTCTCATTCAAGCAACGACGATGATTTCAGATTGTTTAATGAATTTAAAATTTATATTAAATTATTTAATTTACTTACGTTGTCGCTTGTTGCTTCAGGAACTTCCAACATTTTTGCTTCGTAGATTATGAGGTACATCCCCAAGAACAATCAACCTGAAAATTTCAATAACTGTAATATTTCAATAGTTGTAGATAGTGCTTATTTTTAACTGTAAGCCTAATAAACTTATATTGTAGTGACTACTCATGAGCTATAATAAACCATCGATTATGTATATCAAAACCGTTTACGACGACATCGTTACATTGACCAACATACCGGTTATATTGACCAAAACCAAAGGTCCCGGCTGAATTCTATGTATAAGGCTGCTTCCACATCTGGCTAATATGCCGCGAATGTGCAGCGATCAGCGCGCGGGGGCGCTCTTGGCTCGCGTCTTCCTTGATCCTTCCGCCCACGCCAGTAAACGGAACTGTAAGCGTGAGAACTGAGCGCGCGCCTTTTACGAGTCTTGCATGAGTTCCGCTAAAGAGGCGCACCAAACCATTGCCGTGACTGCACGCGCGCAGCTCGCAAACGGTTCGAGAGTTGCACATTCGCGGCGCATTCGCCAGATGTGGACGCACCCTTAGGTACTTAATAACAACGTCATCGGCTGTTACGACTATCGGTTTTTACGACCAAATATGAGTAGTCTTTTCTATGTCGTTATAACAGATTTTGACTGTACCTATATATTTTTTATTTATAAATTACAATTAATACTATCAGTTAGTCCAACAATAGTAATTGTTTAAAGAAATGTAAAATACATATTATTGTTTATTAATATTTTAGCGTATGATTATTGAAAGTAACTTGTTTTTTCCCTGTATATTTAATTTTCATCAAAAAAATTAGGAACAAATTATTATTATGGTATAATTGTGTGAAAACTGACAGTGAATCAAAATATAAATCAGCTATATGAATTCCCATTTCTCTTTTATTGGTTCATTGTCAAAGTTATAGGTACGTTGAAGGCCGCAATAATTACTGAAGCCAACTAAGCAAATTTGTCGCTAGATCACGCGAAATCTTGGATGCGTCAGCGTTTAAAAAGCAATAATCGACTAGTGCCGTGGCTTTACAAAAGATGAGGTCATGTTTAGCGATGAATTATAAAAATACTAGCCCTACTACTACTATTTAATTTAGCGCTTTTTTCTATCTTTCAGCGGACTTTTGTAATCGAGAGTTGGCAACTGCCATATGTAATAATATTATGATAAAGATTGAAGATACCTACTTGACGCTGGCTAATGCACAAACCGTGCCAGAGCCATAAAGGAAAAAAAAGGAAAAAAAAAAGAATGAAGACAAATCAATACACAGAACACTATTACTAGAAGTAAAAAGAACTTCATAGTAAAAAAATGCTTACTCGCTTATGCTCCAGATAATGCCATCAGGTATTATCGTATGGCGCGAGAATTTAAAATAGTATGCAAGTACAGAATTTTAAGGAATTAATTTCATGTAGAGAAATAAAACAAGAAGTGTGCATTTTATTTAACTACAATAATTAATTAATTGCGTAACAGTAAGTCTCTATCTCGTTAAAATGTTGATATCACAACACAAAAGCGTCAATATCGCATAGTAAGAGTCTCTATCTCGTTTAGTAATTCAATTTTATCGTACGGTAGTAAAGAAACAGCAAAACGATTTTGAGATTCACAACTTCATTATTTTCTACACAGTCTATTTAAGAAAAACCTGAAGTCCCTTGAAAAAAAAAATAGTAAAAAAAGTTAAAAGTTGCCATATTATTATTTAGATTACTACTTTAATTTTGCACGTCAATTAATATATTATGTCTCGTATACGATAATTTTTGTATTCTCAAAATTTTTGCTTCATCTAGGTTTAAATTAGTGCTTATTTTATTTCTCTATTCGTTTTATATTCCTAAACCCAATAAAAGTTTGCTCACGTTGAATAATTTTAACTAACAATATGGTAGATATTTATTCAATCAGGTAATATTGATCTGGATATAGCTGGCTGATTGCTTCTTTTGTAGAGCGCTTTCTCATTTTCGCAGATAGTGCCATTGTTGGCATTGGCTGATACGAAAGCTGACGGACTGTGTTACTGCAAGTCATGATGTTGTTTATTTTTACTTTGTAAGCCGCAACATAGCGAAAAGCAGTTCAGTCATTTAAAACATTTCAAAATAAAGTGAATATTTATTAGTACTACAAGATTAGAATATTTTTATTTGTTTTACTACAATTTACCAACACATTCAAAATGTCCATCGGTTCCGTTTATGAAACGGCATACAAGGGAGACTTTAATCAAGTGAAAGTAAAAATTGATGAGAATAAAAGATTGATTGAAACACCGGATTCCGTAAGAATAGTTTGAAATTTGTATTGTTTTTTAGTACTCTAAATGTGTTGAATAATGCATCTATAATTATTACAGAATAACCGCCTTCTAATTCATTGGGCTTCTCTTGGAGGTAATGAAAATTTAGTAGATTATTTAATAGATACAGGTTCTCCTGTGGATCCGGTGGATGATACAAATTATACACCTTTAGTACTCGCTGCGTCAGCTGGAAGGTTTGAGGTTGTAAGACTTCTTGTTGGTAAAGGAGCAAATGTTAACCATAAAACAGACCGGCATCAGACTGCTTTACATTATGCTTCATCTAAAGGACATGAAGAGGTAATTTACTTACAATTAGAGTCAATTCCAATAGATTATAACGACTCTTTGGACATCATCCGATCCTAATAAGAATAGTTTTCGCAATATTAAATACATGCAAGTATATCAATAATAATAATAAATTTTTCAGATTGTTAAATTCCTGATAGATGCAGATAGCAATGTCAATACTCCTGATGTGTTAGGTGCAACTCCACTTCACAGGGCTGCAGCTCAGGGTAGAACAGAAATTGTTGAAATTTTATTGAGTTCACCACAAATTAATGTTAATGTCCAGGATTCAACTGGATGTTCACCCCTGTAAGTGGACAATTTCATCCCTTTTTAAATAAATTGTAGAGGATTTCCTAATAACTATTTGTTTTTTGAAGAGTTAAGACTTTTACTTATAATGTTTTTGTCTTTTTTAGTCATTTGGCTTGTGAAGAGGACCGCCAACCAACAGCTGTTTTATTAAAAAATGCTGGAGCTCAAACTGATCTAAAAAATAAGGATAAAAAGACACCATTAGATTTGTGTTCACTAAAACTTAAACATTTACTTGAATAAATATATATTATTAAATGCTATTCATTGTACACCCAATGAAGCTCTGCACCACGATTTATTTACGACATATAAAATATATAACAGGCATGTAATATCTATGTTGTGTTGGTAACATAGATATAAATTATTTTTTTTGTTATTTTAGTGTAAATGAAAATAAGTTGAAATGCTGAGTTCGTTTATTCCTTCATGATTTATTAACATGCTGGTTACTTGGTTATAGTCCTGCCTCTATATTAATGCATTGCTGGTTTGGTAATACATATTGGTACTTTGCCAAGTTTCAATTAAGCTTTTGGAAGCTTAATTAAAACTTGGCTATATTTAAAGGCTTGGGTTGCTACTGGTTTTCCTTAGTATGTAGTTTTTTTCTTTATGGCTCTGGCACGATTTGTGCAAAGTAGGTAGTTGTAAATTGTAATATTAGAGCCTTAAGTGTTAAATTACAAGATAGTTACAGTCTTCTATCTCACTCAGCAGTATTTATATTCTATGGTATTCACTATTTATACTTGAAGATATGAACATAGACTAAGATATTCCTATTTTTAGTCTATATTACTATTTATAAACTGTGATTGTTTGTTTTTAAATTTTAATGAAAAAATTGATAAAATAATTGTTATTGTATTGAAATTCTTAAATAATCTTTAGTTTGTTTGACTTAAAGTATTACTGAATCGTTCCATTGATTATGCTTGGGCTAAATTTTTTATTCTGTGTTTGGTAAGTAAGTTAACAATTTATTTTATTTATACTTATTCTCATTACAACGTTACCTTTATATTTGAAGCATTTTTTAAGAAACAATACATTTCTAATAAATAAGGTATCCATACCGCTTCTCCTTACAGTAATTATCAAAAAAAATTATTTCCATTGTGTGTGTGTTATTTTACAAAAAAAAAACAAATAACTTTTCAATATTTTTTTGTCTAACTATATTCATACCATATAGGTACTTTGATACCTTTGCATGCAATACAAAAATATCCTTCATTATTCCATTATAAGATATATATGAATATTATAGTATTATGAGAAACATGCAGTAGTCAGTAGTCCAATGTTTTCTAAGTTGTATTATAAAATAGATTTCTTAGGGCAACATATGCATCAATGAAGGAAGTAAATATACTTCCTCTTCACATTGTCACGGAATTTTAACCCTTCACTTTAAAGGAATAAAATTCACTCTTAAGGGTTATTGAAAGTAGCTCTTTGCTTTCTATTACCTAGTAAACTTGTCATTTGATGTTTCTATAAAGAATGTTTTAAGTACATAAGCTTGGTTTGGTATAAAATGTGTATACGTGTGAATAAAGTTGTATATACTAAAAGATAAATGTGAATTGTGCTTAAAAATTAATAAATAATGTTTTAAAGTAGTGTAGTAGTATGTAGTAGTGACAAGCATTAAATATCTCCTTAATAAACACAACAATTATTACTTAAACATTAGCAATATTTTATTTATAGTTTAACATTTTAAAGCATCCGTGTATTGGAGCTAATTTTCGCGACGAAGCATTCATAATAAACGCTAATTAAGATTGGCTCCATTGATGACATAATTATATAGGCATGTTGCTTCTAAGTACTTGAAACTTGTTAGTATAGAGTTTCTAATACCTATGTAATTTCTTGTGAAGTGAGATTCTTTTATCACTTGTAGACATATTTCATGAAATTAACTTAGTGAAGTTTCTATTCTTTTTTTAGCTAGATTAGTAGCTCCCGGATTGTATATTTAAAGTGAAACATCGCCAAATGTCACGAGGCTGACAAAATGTTTCCATTGCACTGTTTTAAAGGCAAGTGAGTGAAGGAAGCCTTGTTTTGTCGTCTAACGCGATCGGCAACGAATCAAGAAATTCTAATTTTCTATAATTTTAATACCTAGTTTTTTTAAGCTGCTGGTTATGCGTAGCTAATGACAAATTAAACTTTTAAGGGATAAGGCCGACGTCTTTATTATTCATTCTTGGATGCATAAATATGTTACATAAATGATAATTATACGCTCAATATTATAGATTAATGTTATTCATAATTATGTCTAGTGCACTACAAGTTATTATGTAATTTATGAAATACATAATTAATTGCTATCGGGACGATCTCTCCGACACAATCAGAATTCAGTCACGACGGGAATACCCAAACACCTTAATTGTAAGCATGAGAGAACTTGATGTGATTATTAAAATCATTTGCGAATAACGTATTGTAATGTGATGTTATAAAAAGAATATTGAACCGAATAATACCGGTGGTGTTAGTTATCCAATATTATTAGGTACCTACCTACTCTGTATTTTTTAATGTTAGTTACGAACAAAAACTACTAAGCCATGAGCTCTACTATTCGAATACTGTATTATCTAAGTGACAATTTTTTTTTTAAGTTCCAAGACAGGTTATCAGGCTGCTGAAATAATTTGTCACGCATATACGCCTGATCCAGCGTTGCCAGACGTCCCGATTTTTAAATCAAAATGAAATGTTCCGCGCGGGACAGGCTTAGTCCCGCTTTTCGGGAATAACTCGATGGCAATAAGAAGTATGTACTACTACCGCACAATAATGGTACCAACTCTTTCAACAGTATCCAAAAAAAATACCAGGATTATCTTCAAACTTTATATGAAGTATCCTAACATCAAACTGCTTTCCAAAACGCCTTCTTTTTGAAATGCTTCGTAAATTTAATGAAGTCAGAGTTACTCATCAAGTTTAATCTGCAGCTGTCTGTAAAGAGTTCTTCGTCTTTTTTAAAGAGAAAAATGAAACTTTTAAAGAAGTTATATCTTCATAGAAATATTATGAATAAGTAATTCTTATAAATAATAACTGTCTTATTTTAAGTTGCAATTTGATATTTTAAAATTAAAATCATTATTAAATTATTTAAAATTTTTTACTATGTCCCGATTTCGACAAATGAATCCCGCTTTTTTCACTTTAAAAGTGCGAAAGTCCCGACTTGACTAAAAAGAAATCTGGCAACGCTGGCCTGATCACTTATTGCCAACCTTTAACAGTAACTTTTTTTTTCTTTTTTATCCATCTGCAAACAGCCTCATGGCTTTTATCAGATTTTATTAAATGATGGCAATTACGGAACGCAAATCCAATATTTTTTTTGTTTCCCTCCGTAATTCGCAAACTAGAAGCAAGGCAAAGAAGGCTGATCACCTACTTGACTATTAGGCTAAGTTCAGATGACCGCGCGTAGCCGCGCGTCGCCGCGCGGTTGGAGCATTCACATGACGGTATATGTACGCGCGGCAGTGTGGCTTCAACATTGATTGGCAATGGACGTGGAGGAGGTAATTTGCTTATGGATTTTATATAGAAGACTGAGACATCGCAGAAGAAGACAAAGACGATACTGGGTGCATCCAATTTTAAGTGGCAGACTTTCTTCCAGCCTGTTTGTCACTTTGTATCCCGACTTGAGGTTACACGAAGATAATTTTTTTAACTATTTCCGGATGTCAGTTGCATCCTTTGATTTTTTATACGATTCTATTGAAAATGATTTAAAATCCAGTGAAGATGCTATAAGATATTGCATATCAACAAATACTTAATACCATATCTTCGGTACTAATTTTGCATCGATCTATGTGTCTTTCCGTCTCAAGCCGCGCGGATCAACTGAACAGGTCGATACAGGTTTGCAAAACTTGTGCCGCGCGCGGCCGCGCGGAAGCGCGCGGTTCAAGATCTTGCGCGCGGGTCGGAGCGCGCCGCGAGTTGGCGTGCGGTACCGCGCGGTAATGTAGACGATAATTACCGTTTATATTGATCTTGTACCGCGCGGTTCATAGTTCCGCGCGGTACCGCGCGGTCATCTGAACTTAGCCTAAAACTGACAAATGATCATGAAACAGATACAGAAATCTGAGGCCCAGAGCAGACCTTTAAAGGTTATAGCGCCACTGATTTACTTTTTAATTCGCAAACTATCAGACTGCGGCAAGTTTTGCCCTTCTCAGCCGATACACTAAAAGTGATCCAATACAATAATAATAACATACCAGACATAGTACAGTCAACAGTGCATTAATTAAGGTGCCAATAATATTATTTACAATTATTAACTCTGCGGAGATCATACAACAGTACTGCGGGTAGGGACAGCCCAACCTGGTAGCTATAATTTCCAAAATGTTGAAGCTGCCCCGCACCAGGGATGCTCTTTCGCATTCAATGTGAGCTTCTGCAAACGCGTTATACTGCACACGAAGACTTTCATATGATGTTTCGACAGAACTTGGTTAAAATAATATATGACAATTACATGATAGAGTATGTTTAAATTCCTTCGAATTATGTTTTAAGAAACTTTTAATGACAGGGGAAAGATTTAGTATTTGTAGTAGAGAAACGTTAAGATAATCACGATAAAACAGGATGTGAATTATAGACAGCAAAAAGTGGTGTTCGTTGTAAAAAAGGTTGTTTTCTATGTGTGTACTTCTTGGGTCGACGACACGAATGTTGTAGGCCGCTTGTCAGCTAAATAACGATACAGCTGTTACAGGCTGCTAGCCCAAAGGCTACCAAGCCTTTGAATATATTCTAAAAATGGTAGTACCTTCCTATCGAATTGCATAATTCATTCGCTCCAGCACAATTATAAATTTATTTACATCGGGCATTTTTATTGATTTATATGATTCCAATAATAAATTAATTTATTCATGAATGTTCCGATGTTTATTCGTTTCTAGGAAATTTAATATTTATTTTTAAGTGGTTGGCATAAAGCGAGACCAATACGTATAGATGTAGGACCTTTACAAATAAAATTTAAGCTATCATTTCAATACTGAATAAATACTTTTTTACTAAAGAACAATTTGGTCTCTTAATCAGCTAATTAAAATGCGCCTAAAGCAGGGTTGTGCTAAACGTATAAACTATATGTTATTAATAAAAATATAAATATTAGTAGTTTATTACATAGCTAACGAATAACAGGAATAACA